CTATAAAATATGTGAAGAAAAACTGACAGAATTGGAGAAAGACAGTTCTACAATAATAGTTGAAGATTTCAGTACCCCACTCTCAATAATGGATCTGAGAAGACAGAAGATAACTAAAGAATAACACAATAAACTGAGTAAATCTAACACACATATACAGAACATTCTACCCAACAAAAACATAATACATGTTCTTAAGTTCATATTAAAAGAGAAGAAAAATATCCACACAATAGCCTAATTTTATAATTTAGGGAACTAGAAAAAGAACAGACTAAACCCAAGGTTAGCAGAAGAAAGGAAATAAACAGAATAGAGTCAAATAAAATAAAGAATGAAAAATAATAGAGAAAATCAACAAAACCTAAGGTTGATTCTTCAAAGACTACCAAAATTGACAAAACTTTGGCTAGATTAACTAAGAAAACAAGAAAACTCAAATTACTGAAATCAGAAAGTGAAGATATTACTACTGATTCTACAGATATAAAAAGGATCATAAGGGAGTACTAGAAATTGTATGCTAACAAATTGGATAACCTAGATGAAATGGACAAAACCTATCAAGACTGAATCATGAGGAAATAGAAGTTCTGAATAAGCCTATAACTGGAAGGAGATTGAATCAGTAACCAAAACACCCCTGACAAAGAAAAGCCCTGGACCAGATGGCTTCACTGCTGAATTCTACCAAACATTTAAGGAAGAACTAACACAAATCCTTCTCAAACTGTTCCCAAAATACTGAAGAAAAGGGAAAACTGCCTAACTCATTCCATAAAGCCAGCATTACTTTGATACCAAAGACACTACAAGAAAACTATAGATCAGTATCCCTTTTGAAAACTGATGCAAAAAACCTCAACAAAACACTAGCAAACTGAATTTATAGCACATTAAAAGAATTCTACACCATGACTGAATGGGATTTATTCCTGGAACACAAGAATGGTTCAACGTACAAAAATCAATGAATGTAATACATAACTTTAACAGATGAAGGGAAAAACCACATGATTGTCTCAGTTAATGCAGAAAAGCATTTGACAAAACTCAGTGCCTTTTTATGAAAACCATTCAGACTAGGAATAGAAGGAAACTAACTCAACTTAATAAAGGCCATATGTGAAAACCTCACAGCTAACAATACTGCATGGTGAAAGATGGAGAGCTCTAACTTCACAAACAGGGCAATGGTGCCCACTTTTACCACTTAAAGTCGACAAAGTATCAGAAGTTTTAGCCAGAGAGTAGGCAAGAAAAAGAAACAATGGCATCTGGATTGAGAAGGAAAAAGTAATCATCTCTGCAGATGGCATGGTTTTCTGTATTAGAACTAATACACAAAATCAACACAAAAACAAATTGCATATCTATACAGTAACAATGAAACAATCCTAAAAGGAAATTAGGAAAGCAATTTCATTTAAAATAAGATAAAAAGAATAAAATGCTTAGGAATTAACCATGGAGGTGAAAACCTTGTACCTTGAAAACTACAAAACATTGCTGAAAAGAAATTAAAGACATAAGTAAGTGGAAAGACATCTTGTGTTTATCAGTTGGAAAACTTAATAACATTAAAATGGCAATACTACCCAAACAGATCTACAGATTTAATGTCACCTTTATCAAAATCCCAATAACTTTTTTTTTGGAGGAATAGAAAAATTCATCCTAAAGTTCACATGGTATCTCAAGGGACTTTGAATATGCAAAACAGTCACGAAAATGAATAATGTCAGAGGACTTACAGTTTGTAGAGCTGGGTCTGGAGCTCACAGACCATTCGAGCTCATTCACAAACTCTTCACATGCAGGTCGATGAGCTAGGTAAGTGGAAAAAAGGTCCTTGGAGCCTTGATTGAAGAAAGAATAGTCTTCATTCAGCACACAAACATCTAAGAGCTAGGCAGTCCAAAGAGAAACCGAGCAGCTGCCATTAAAGTAAACATGCTCTATTTTTAGACACAAGTTCTCTGCAGGATCAGAAGTTCAGAGTCCTGCTTTACACACTGAAGAACACAGAAGAATAGCAACAAGCCAAAAAGATAAATGGCACACATACACACTAACTCCACCCCCCCAACTTGTTTACAAAGAATGTGCTGCACCATCCCCCACCAGACCTGAGGCAAGGCAGCCTGACTAAACTATTCTATTTTTCTCACACAGTTCCTGATTTCAAAATTTACTACAAAGCAAGAGTAATCCAAATTGTGGTACTGGCATACAGACTTATAGACCAATGGAATAGAATAGGGAACACAGGAATAAACCCTTGTGTATATGGTCAAATGATTTCCAACAAGTGCCAAGACCATTCACTGTGGCAAAGACAGTGCATTCGACAAACATTATTGGGAAGTAATGTATATCTGCATGCAAAAGAATAAAGTTGAATCCTTACCTAACACCATATACAGAAATTAACTGAAAGTAGATTAAAGATCTAAATATAAGAGTGAAAACTATAAAACTCTTAGAAGAAAACATAGGGGAACGTCTTCATGACATTGGATTTGATGATGATATTTTGGAAATGACACCAAAGCACAGGCAACAAAAGAAAAAATACAGAAATTAGACTTCAAAGGGAGAGAATATATTTGCAAATCATACATCTGATAAGGTATTGATATTCAGAATGAATAAAGAACTTCTATAATTCAACAACAAAAAGAAGAACACCGCAATTAAAAAATGAACAAAGCATTTGAATGGTAATTTTTGCCAAGAAGATACACAAATGGCTAATAAGCACACAAGAAGATAGTCACCATCACTAATCCCTAGGGAAATGTAAACTAAGACCACAGTGAGGTACCACTTGGCACCCATAAGTATGGCTATTATTTTTAAAAACCCTTGTGCATTGATTCCTAGTAGGAATGTAAAATGTTGTGGCTTCTATGGAAAACAGTATGGTAGTTTCTTAAAAAATTACACATAGAATTACCATGTGATTCAGTATATATCCAGAAGAATTGAAAGTAGGGATTTGAACAAATATTTATACACCACTGTGCATGGCAAAGTTATTCACAATAACCAGAAGCTAGAAACAAACAAAATGTCCATTGGCAGATGAATAAACAAAATGTATTATGTACACACAATGGAATATTATTTAGCTTTAATAGAAAGGAAGGAAATTCTGAATGCATGCTTCTGCATGGATGAATCTTGAAGTCAGTATGTATGCTAAGTGAAATAAGCCAGACACAAAAGGATATATATTGCATAATTCTACTAATTTTAGTGACATAAAGTAGCCAAATATAGAAACAGAAAGTAAAATAGTTGTTATCAGAGACAGAGGGGAGGAGGGAATGGGAGGTTATTGTTTAATGGTTACAAAATTTCAGTATGGGAGGATGAAAAGTCCTGGAGATGGATGGTGATAACGTTTGCACAACAGTGTGAATGCATTAATGCCACTGAACTGTACACCTAAAAATGGTAAACATAACATTTTTGTTACATGTATTTTACCACAGTAATGATTAACAACCTTCTACAGGCTGTTTCTCTCCACCTATTCTGTATTCTACCAGTAGGTGCTTTTTGTTCCTCCCAGGTGGTCCTCCCTGCCCACATTGTGGGCTTCTCTTTCTTTGCTCATAAGGCCATCCCTGCTCCCACAGGCCTCATCTGGAATACGTAGCACTTTCTTCTTCCCTTGGTTTCTTCCCATTCTTCAAGACCAAGTTCCTTTGCCCTCTCTTAGGAAACCTTCCTTGGTATCTGTATCCCAGTGTGTTCTCCATTTTTGGAATAGTGCTAAGGAGATAAAAATAAAACTGGGCAGGGAGATGAGACAGGGTGTAGAGATGAATTTTTAGATTGAGTGGCCAAGAAGCTCCACCATGAGCACCCATAGTGTGTGGCAGGAAGTTTAATGCACTGTTCTCTACATTTCACAGGTGAGCAAACTGACACAGGTGGGCCTCAATCCCAGGTACCTGGTTCAAGTGCTTCATGACTCCCTGCTTGTGCCTGTCAGGCCCAGAAGGCCGAAGGGTCTTGGGATTTGGGAGAAGGACTGAGTTATAGTTTAGTCTTTGCTGTTATTGAATTGTATGAACTTCAATCACTCAGATGCTTCAACACTAATATAATTGGCTACACTATCTGATCTTTTAAATTCTTTAAAAAAGTCTGCTGTGCTTTACTGTTGTTTGATTTTTATATGTTGTTTCCTCTTCGATCTGCCTAGATTTAAAGTTCCCAGAATGTATGGACTCTTATTTTTTGCATGTATGAGGGCACTTCAAAAAGTTCATGGAAAGGGCCGGCCCGGTGGCGCACTGGATAGTGCGCCACTTGGGAAGCGCGGCAGCGCTCCCACCCGAGGGTTCGGATCCCACATACAGACCGGTTCCCGCTCACTGGCTGAGCGAGGCGCGGGAGCAACACCAAGGGTTGCGATCCCGTTGCCGGTCCCCGGTCCGGTACGGGGGCAACACTGAGGGTTGCGATCCGTGGCCGGACACGGAAAAAGACAAAAGACAAAAAAAAAAAAAAAAAAAAAAAAAATTT